TCCCGCCTCTCCCAGGCCCCGCCCCCTCCTGTCCGCTTCTCCCAGGCCCCGCCCTCAGCTCCTGCCGTCTCGCGAGGTCTCGAGGGACTCTTCCCGTAATGCCCCGCGCCCGGCTGCCGCGGTTGCCTGGCAACGCCGGGTCCCCCTGCTGCTGGCTGCCCCGGGTTCGGCCAGGGGATGGGGCCGCGGGATCTCCCGCCGCTGTTGCTCGTGCTCCTGGACTGCTGGGCCTCTGGGAGCGCCCAGGCCGGGGCCACCTCCGCGGTGACGACGGAGGGTCTCAACTCTACGGAGGCAGCCCTGATGACTCTCCGACCTGCCTTGTCGCCTAGGCCTTCCGAGACCCCCAGGGCCCCTCGGCCCTCCTCTGGCCCCAGGCCCACCCCGGTTACGGACGGTGGGTACCAAGTGCCAACTCCTGGGGATCCACAGTAATCTAACCTGGAGGGAGGGTAGCCCGAGTGAGGATGTAATAATAATGATAGTTAACGTTTATTGAACACTTACTGTGTGCAGGCATTGCTAAGTGTTTCATAGGCATTAATTCTCTCAACAACCCTGCGAGGTAGATATTATTATCCCTGGCATACAGATGAGAAAACTGAGACTCAGAGAGTGTAAGTGGGACAATATCAGATCTTTGAAAGTACTTGCAATGGTCCTGGACAACGTTAATGCTAAAAGTAATAATGAATGAATCCTTGCAGATTTGCAGCAGAAGACAAAATCGAAAGTTTCTAGACAGTTGTGGAAATGAAATGCATAGGATGCATCAGACTTTTCACTTACCAAAAAAAGAGATGCCAGAAGTCTAGCTTACAAAATGTGACTGGGTCAAGGCCCTTGCCTATTGACTTGAATTATGAAAACTCAGGATTCCTCCTGTGTTGAGTTGGAAGGGGAAGCTGTAGGGTAAGGGGTTATGCCCACTTCTTAGGATTCATCTTTAGGGATAATTAACATATTTCTCGGAAGGTGATCTAATCCTGGAGTTACACATTTAGTGAATATTTTATAATCTGATTTGAGATTGATGACTTCAGGAGATGTCTGTCTGTGACCCTGAGATTGAGTGCAAAATTTTGTGAATATGCATTTTTCTGGGGTGAGCGTTCATAGCAATCAGCAGTTTCTCAAAAGGATTTGTGATCTTAAAAATTCTAAGTCCACTGACTGTAACCTCAATAGGTATGCAGTATTTTTTATCCCTTCTTATGAGAAAAAGATCTTTTTTTTAAAGATTCTATTTATTTATTTTCCCCCCAAAGCCCCAGTAGATAGTTGTATGTCACAGCTGCACATCCTTCTAGTTGCTGTATGTGGAACACGGCCTCAGCGTGGCCGGAGAAGTGGTGCGTCGGTGCGCACCCGGGATCCCAACCGAGCCGCCAGCAGCGGAGCGCGTGCACTTAACCGCTAAGCCACGGGGCCGGCCCTCTTTTCTTAAATTGAGTATGGCTCAATATTAGTAAATAGAAAAGTCATCATTGGCTGACGTCCTGAGCTGTAGGACTTAACTTCAGTTACGGAACCATTATTTCTCCAGAGGGCCTCCTTTATAAATTATGAGTAGTCTGTAAGAAAAAGTACAGAGAAATATATTTTCTGTTTCAATATATGTAAACAAAACTCTGTTTTGTATTTAAACTGTTCATTTGATGAATTAGTAGGGAAGTTAAATCAGTGATAAATTGGGACAGAATACGGCAGTGTAGTCAAGGCCCAAAATTCTCTAAGGTTTTTGGACTGTGTTGTCTTTTATCCATGTCAGTATTCATCTGTTAATCCACTTTCTCCCCAGAATGAAGCTATTCTTGAATCATCATTATTAGGACATGTGTTCAGCGCTTTTTTTCCAGTATAGGGGATGAATTTTCACTTCATCTTTTTAAAGGAGCCCTCCTTAGACCTGTGAAAGTAATGATAATAAACGACAGCTGGCATTTATTAACTGCTTACTGTGTAGCAGGCACTGTGCTAAGCATTTCATCTGTGATGTATCTCATTTAATTCTCATAACAACCCTATGACGTGGGCTATCCCCATTTTTCAGGAAGGTGAATTACCTGCCTGATTTTAGCTCACACTCCTGGTACGTGTTGGAGCAGGAGGCTGGCTCTGCGTGGAGAACTGGACAGCCCTTTGTAGAATGGGTTACAGATGGAAGAGAAGAGTGATAACTTTCGTCCTGCATCAGCTGTTGCTGAGTGCCCTGCTCTGTGAGCCGGGCGTGCGGACATTGAGAGGTGTGGCAAAGCAGCTGAGTGCTACTTAGACCCTGCAAGTGCCCAACACATGCTTGTTGGCTGATTAAGTGCACTCGGATCCTGGATAGAGACCTTTTCTTCCCCTAAGTGGAGTTATTAAACACTATTGCTTTGTCCTTAGTAGTCTTATAGCTACCTACAAGGGTTTTAAGTTTGGAAAACAAATCAAGATTATAATTTTAAATGCATAAGACAGGGAGCCCGAACACTCTCTTTATTTTTTTACTTTAGTGTGCGTTATTTTACTAAGCACATAGAGGAGTCCTTGGCTAGAGAGAAGCATGTAAACTTTTGTGTCTCAGACTAAGAAAAGATTGTATATTGACAGAACCTTCCCTTCTTACACACTTCTTTCCAGAGTCTGTTATTGTACCTTTTTTGAGCTACATTTTTATTGTGAAATAATTCATACATGCAAATAAGAATCTTGTATGGACTCTCTACCAGCATTTGCTTGAAATCCTTTTTTGGAAAAAGAAAAAAATTACATTGGAGCGCTGATCTTATTCCCTCCAATTACTACCATGAGTTCAGTGTTTATCATTCTCATGCTCTGCTATTTCTTTAAAAGGGTTTCCCCCCCCCCGCCTTTTGACAGAATAAAATAGGGAATTAAAAATCCAGATAGTCATCATTATTAAAAATTAAAAGTGCTAAGTAGGGAGGTTCCTACCCTTCTCCATGCTTTATTGTCTAAATTACCAAAGATATTTCTAGGACCCCAAGTACAGAGCACCTGAGCCGGTTTGATTCTTGGCCAGTAGCCTGTGAATGTGGGCTTAGCCTCAGAGCTGCAGGTGACGTCTGAGGAGAACAAGGTTGAGAACCCTGATTCCTGGCAGCCTTAAGTGGACCCTTCCTCTGAACCAGAGCCTCCAGAGAAGGAGCTTTGGAATCTGTGATATTAAACCAGTGGTTCTTATGGTCAGGCAAGTGATTTAGCATGCTGGTTCTTAAACCTGTCTTAATTATCAGCATCACCTGCAAAGTTTTTGAAAAACACAGATGTGTCGGTTTCACAGTCTGCTTACCAAATCAGAGTCCTTGTAGGTGGAGGACAAATAAACAGAACTTTCCAAGTGAGTCATGATTGGCCACTTTGGGGAAACCTCGGATTGAAGAGTGCTCGAACTGACCACTTTTCACTTCATAAATTTCCCCCAAAGTGCAGTAGGAAAAATAAAGTGGACCTTTTGTATGAAGTGGATTTTTGGTACATTGCAGTGGCAGGGGGCAGTCACAACCTGCTGACTGTGACGCTCTGCGTCTCACCTCTCGTTTCTGTAGTTGCTGCTCTGTGTGTCTGTGACTTGTTGCCAGCACAGTGTGACATCAACTGCTGCTGTGACCCTGACTGCAGCTCCGTGGAGTTCAGTGTCTTTTCTACCTGCTCAGTTCCAGTTGTCACGTAAGTTTGTGACACATGCAGTTTGGATAAAATCGGACCAAGATTATAAAAATTTGGGTATAGAAAGTGAAGACTCCCTCAGGCTGAAAAACCCGAACCTGATTTACTGAATTTTGCGTTGCTCAGAAGCCATGGTGTCCAAACCGATATGTAGAAGTGTATCTATGCCTTATTTGCATCCAGCCAGATGATGGTGCAGGCGAAAGGGAAGAGGGAGTGTACTTTTTAAAGAGAGTATAACGAAATCTCTGTGTTCAGAGATTGAATTACATTTCACTTTGATTTGTAAACAGATAATGTATCACATCTGTGTCACATTTTTGTATCAGTGACTTAGTCTCATGTTTAGCCAAGGTGAAAAGTGCAGTTTAATTTTACAACTTTTGTTGTGAACATAGTACTTGTAACAAAAAAATAGATAGGAAAGCTTTGTTTATACCTTTGTGATATGTAAATCTACCAGGAATTCTCACAGTTCACATTGTATAGAGAATAATGGAAAATGACACTCCCAGTGGATTACAAGGCAAAGAAATAATCTCTTCTGAACGATCTGTTTCTCGTAATTAAGATTTCAAAGCTTTTTGAAAAAAATAGGACTTAGAAGAGGTTAATTTATTCAGGATGGACCCAACTTACTATTCAGAGATAGCTAGTTTAAATTTAGCCTTGTAGGAAGTTGTAGCAGTTGATAGTGGACAGGTTGAATGCTTTTTGGAAGTACAGTGTGTTTTTCCCATGAGAAACTATTTTATTGACCAATGGGAAATTGAATCTACTTCTTTTTTTTTTTTTTTTTTTTTTAAAGATTTTATTTATTTATTTTTCCCCCAAAGCCCCAGTAGATAGTTGTGTGTCATAGCTGCACATCCTTCTAGTTGCTGTGTGTGGGACGCGGCCTCAGCATGGCCGGAGAAGCAGCGCGCCGGTGCGAGCCCGGGATCCGAACCCGGGTCGCCAGCAGTGGAGCGCGCTCACTTAACCACCAAGCCACGGGGCCGGCCCGAATCTACTTCTAATATTGTAAAAATGCTTGGAGAATGACATGTTGTGGTCAGATTATTTTTCTGGCTTCCTGGACTACAGCGTGATTCAGTCTTTGTTAAAAATCATTCTGCTTTCCTTCTGTAGTAAGTACCAGGAACCTGAGAGTGAGATTTCTGCTCCATTTGAGATCGTTGTTTAGAATGTCATTTTTAAAAATAGCCAATACTGTAATTTTAAATATAGACCATGAGAACGGGGGTCAGCAACATTTTCCATAAAGGTCCACATAGTAGATATTTTAAGCTTTATAGGGCCTATGGTCTTTGTTGCAACTTCTCAACTCTACCATTGTTGAGCAAAAGCAGCCATAGACAATATGTAAATGAATGGGCATGGCTGTGTTTCAATAAAACTGTATTTACACAATCAGGGATGGTTTGCGGACCCCTGGTTTAGAAGTGAGAGCTGAATCCATAGTGCCCTCAGGAAAGAACCTCAAGAATTTTCTGAGTTAGTGTTTCTTGTGACTTTCTCCTAAATATTAAGTGTAGAAGTAATGAAATCAAAACTAATAATCCTAATTAATTGAGTGTTCTTGTTATGTAGATTCCAATTCATAAAAGGTTTACTTACATTTGCTAAACTGTCAACAACTACTTGTATCATCTAATAAATTGTAAATTTACTGTTAAGATTATTGGGTTAATATCTGTTTCCTCCATTGGATGTGAGAATTTTCTCTCTTCTATACTGTATACCGCTAGTGTGTAGCCCAGCTCCTGCCACATAGTTGGCCCTCATTACAAATGGGTTGAATGGATGAATGAATTTCTCCCCTCCACCCCCCCTGACTGACCCTCTTGTATCACCTTGTGACTTTCTCTACTGTTGTTCTTTCAGGCAGACACCCGGGCCAGAAGCCTGGAGGCTGCCCTGACTCCTGCCTCTTTCTTGCCTTCTCACATCTAATCCATCTTTCACACCTCAGCATGCCTTTCCTGAGCACCTCTTGTGTGGCAGCACAGGGATACAAAGATGAGTTAGACACGATCTTGCCTTCAGAGAGCTCACTGAGTAAGGGAGACAGATGAGTAGACAGCAGTTTCTGCCCCAGGCACTAGGCGAACTCAGAGAAGTGGCTTCTAACCCAGACAGTTGGACTGGGGAAGGCTTTCTAGAAAAGATGTTCTGAGCTGAGGTGGGTCCTGAAGGACAAGTAGAAGCTGGCCGGCATGGAATCAGGGGAAGGGCCTTCCAGGCTGAGGCAGCCACATGGCAGAGTCCTGGGGGTGAAGGAGAATGGCCTGTTGGCTTAACTGCAGGTAACTCAGTGTGGCGAGAGAAGGGTGTGGTGAGGTGGCAGGGATCAGATTCCGAGGGGCCTTGTGTGTATGCCGAGGGATTTGGATTTTGTCCTGAATTCTGCAGGAGGCTGGGGTGTGAGATTAGATTCCCATCTTATGAAATTCTGTGGCAGCATGGACAATGGATCGTAGGAGCCAAGCCTGGGGGCAGGGAACCAAGTAAGAAGCTAGTGCAGATGAGGATTAATAGGTTCCCTCCCCGCCACCCCAAAGGTTATGACGGTGGGACTAGAGAGAAATATACAGACCTGTTAGTGCTACTGATATAGTGCACACGATGAGAGAGCTAGCTGACTGGAGGGAGGAGTGAGGAGCCCTGTTCTGCTGAGTCTTCCTTCATGATAGCCCTTGTGTTTGTCCCTTCCTGCTCTTTTCCACTTTATAAGCTCACACCTTATCTTGTCACTCACTTGCTGAAAAACCTTCAGAAGCTCTCATTACCTGTGGATTCCTTAGCCTGGATTCAGATCTGTTCTGCAGCCTGTTTCAGATCCTATTATCTACTAACCCCCATCTCGAATCCTCCATCCAGCTCAACTTTGGTACTTGGAGTTTTCCAGACATCGTCAGCAGGTTACCCATCCTTGGCCAGTGCTCTTTGCACTTGGATTCGCTTCCTGTTCCCTCTCTGTCTGATTCCTGCTCACCCTTTAAGGCCCAGTAGGACTTGAAGATTTTCAGTGTTGGATCTTTTCTCATAAATACTACTCATGGTTTTTCAAAAATATTCTTTGCCCACAATAACAACTGATACACTGTTAAAACTACACAAAGCATTTGAAAAAGTGCCAATTATAAAGTAAATCAGTAGCTTTCTTATATCCCAGCAATAACTGTTCATAAAATATAATGGAAATGGATTCTATTCATAACACCATAGAAATACAACATAAATTATAAATAAACTTAACTATTCAGTATTTATGTGAAGAAAACTTCAAAATATAGTGAGAGAGATAAAATATTTGAATAAATGGAGGGATAGTTTAGTGGGATGGGAAGAATCATTATGTAAACGTTTTAATTAATTTGTAAAAACTTAATTTATAAATCTAATTCCAGTCAGAAGGGAGAGGGATAATGTGTCAAAATGATTCTAAAATTCATTTGGAAGAATAAACAGATGAGAATAGCCAAGACGTTATTGAATAAGAAGAGCAAGCTACCAGGTTTCGAACATGTTGTAACACCACAATAATGAAAATAACGTGTATTGATTCAAGGCCGATAGGTAGATCAGTGGAAGAGAATAGAAAGGGCAAAAATCAGTTGTACTGATTTTACACACGGCTGATTAAAAATATTATGTATTTTTTTCTGTCTATTCACATCTGTGGAATAAAGGTTGGATCATTCAGTAAATGACATAGGATGATTAACTATTGAAAAACAACATTAGATTTCTGCTTCATAGCGTTACACCAAAGTAAATTACCAATAGATTGAAGAGTGAAGTGTTAAAAAAGAATTAATGAAAGAATGAAAAATATGAGTGATTTGTTAATCTTGGGTCAGGGAAAGTCTTTTAAGCATAAACTCACAGGCGAACCATAAAGGAAAAGATTGATAATTTCATTATTTAAAAAATTAAAACTTCTATATGATAAAAAACACCATAAAATTGAAAGGTAACAAACTGGGAAAAAATATTTATAACACATGACACTCAAAGGAGATTCTTAAAAATAAAGCTTCTTACAAATCAATAAGGAGACAAACATTCTAATAAAAAACAGTGAACGGATATGAACAAGCAGCTTACTGAAGAAGAAATACCAGTGAGCAGTAACCATATGGAAAAATGTTTAACCTCACTAGTAAATGAGAAAATTCGAATTAAAACAATGAGATAAGAGATTTTTGCCCATGAAATTGGCAAAGGGTGAAAACCGAATGATGATATCCAGTCTTGGCAAGAGCACAGGGGGATAGGCGCTCTCACTGCGGTGTGGGTGAGGATGCGTCTTGCCTTTCTGGACGGCAGTCTGGCAACACGTCTCAGAAGCCTTAAATGAGGTACCTGCCTTTTGACCCAGCAGTTCCACTTCAGGGGAGACAGCCTAAGGAAGTAACTGGAGACGTTCATAAAGAGGTATGCACAAGGATGTCATTATACCATTACAAACAATTGGGGAAGATTAGAAACAACTCGAACCAGTGGCAGAGGATTGGTTAAAAAAAATTGGGGTATCTTAATAAGTAGGTATACAGTGAAGCCATTTAGTGTAATATTACAAAAATATATTTGATGATATGGGAAATATTGGGCAATATATATTAAGTGAGAAAAGGCTCTAAAGTAGTGTGCAGAACATGATCCCATTTTTGTTATATCTCTGTCTCCAGACCATATCTATATCAAATTGACTAGAGTTTGTCGAGTCTGGGATTGGTTGAAGACTTGACTGGACCCTAACTTCTAAGCCCCAAAACTTCTAGATGACTTCACATTTTCTCATTTTCACAATCCTTTGAAGACAGCTTTATTCTAAAAACAAGAAATTTTGGATCTATTCTGAGTACTTACAAACAATCTGAAGTTCTGCAAAATTTTATATAATTGATTCTGTCAGAGTTTACAAGGTTCATTTATATCAAAATTATACCCTGATCTATATTCCATACTTGACAAGATTTCCTTAAAGGTTACTCTACTTGTCTTAATATTTGCCCTGTTAGAGGAAAAAATTTCAAATGCCAAACATTTTAACACTGAATAAACGAAATAAAAATGGATTCAGTTCTAACATCACGCTTTCAGAAACATCCTCCATGTAGTTGTTAACGTAGTACAGTACGGGCGTCTGACAGTTTTAAAATAAGCTTGCTAAGATTGTATGCATATGCCTTAAAATTTTATATTATTTTTTTAATTTTCAGGGGTGATAGGCAGTTTTGTAGTCAAAAAGCAGCCATCTATTCATTGAATTCTACAGCAAACCCACCTCAAAGGGTATTCAGACTTGTTGACCAGATCAATCCATCTATTTTCTGCATTCATATTACAAACTGTAAGTATTTAATGGTGATATACTTTGTAAAATCTGAAAGTCTTTTATTTTAAAAGTTCTTTTATGGAAAAATGTCCCATTCAGTTAGATCTAAAGCAGTCATTCTGTGGTTTGGCTAGGGTGTATCTTCTGAGGCCACTCACAGGCAGCCGCGGAGCAACTTTAGAGGCCTGTGGGCATGCACGTTTTCTTTACAAGTAATTGTGCTTGTGTGGTTGTCTTTTGAAATCTCATACTTTATTTCAAAGGTGTTTGTAATATGTAGACATGCATAGGAATCTAGATTTATTTAAGTATATGTGTTTTTTTTTTTACTTTATTTCCTCCTGGTGTAATGGTTGAGAATCAGATTCAGCTTTGGTTTCAATTTCCTTTTTTCTCTTTTATTTTTACTCAGAATATTTGCATGAAAACAGGATCTTTATTTTTATCTGAGCATTTAGTTCAGATAGGTGTCTAGATCCAAGGCACATGTAAGTATATAAATGTTATCAAGATATCAAAGACCAGAGACATATTTATGGTTTTATCAATTAAACTTGGTCATCTTTTCAGAATGTCTTTATATTCTGGTTTTGTTCCCTCACCGTTGAAACCTTAGGCAAATGCTCTGCGATTTGTAATCTAAAGCCATGACTGGTCAGTCATTGTCACGTCCTCTGGCGTAACAGCAGCCCAGTGAACATATCAGCCCGGCCCCTTGTTCTCCCTCTTCCGTACACAGCACATTATTTTCCCGGGCTTTGGAGGTGGCTGTGTGAGGACAGCAACAGAATCTTTCATTCCCCTAGCTGTCTGGAGAGCACTTTCCCTTAGAGGTTTATGCAGCAGACTCCTCCGTCCATAGGCTGAAGAAAGAGATTGATTGTAATTGGCTTCTGTTGTGCTGTTTACCATTAGGCTTTAGAAACCATTGCTTCTACACTGTTAGAGAAACAGGCCAAGTCTGGGGATCCTGTTGATTTAGTAAGATTCAAGAAGTCTTGTGGGAAGTGAACGTAGAAAGAGACACTTATTTTTTTTCACTTCGGCCTTAATACTGCTAAAAACTGTTTCCAAAATATTAAATATGTTATATATAATATACATGTTACATTTCGTACTGATTTAAATACTTTTTCTAAAAACAGATAAACCTGCATTATCCTTTATTAATCCAGAAGTGCCTGATGAAAAGAATTTTGATACATTGATGAGAACATCTGATGGTTTTTCGTTGACTACAGAATCAGATATTTCTTTCACCACCAAACTGGATGCTCCAAATGCTGATAAATATGAGGTGAGCCGAGAACTTAAGTCTACTCATCCCATCGCAAATATCCTGTCCTTGTAAGTTAATTTTTCAGTATGTTCCCAGCAAAACCGGCTTCCCCGAGACAGAATTCATGTTATAGATGGAAGAACTTAATGTTTGTGCCCGTAGATCAAAGATCACGAAAATTAAAATTGAGTAGTTGAATTCTAACGTAGGGTTTAAGGACGTTTCTTCTGTGGTTAGCTTGCATTTGTCCCTGCAGGATTCTTTGCTCTTCTCAACCTCATAAGATGCAGCAAGTGCTGGAGGTGTGCTGCTGGGGACACAGAGGAGATCTGTTGGATGCTGGTCCTCTTCTCAAAGTCATATTTAGTTTTCCAGACTTTGGGAAGATGCGTGCTGTTTTATTATCTATTTATTAGTAAACCTTTAAGTGTAATATACATTAACTCTGAAAACTTCAAATTTTTCAGAAGCATCTTCTTGAGAAGTATAAAAGCAACGTGCAAGTTCTAAAAGTTAAAAGCATAGAGGTACATAAGTAAAAATGGAAAGGCCCCCCTTTCTATTAAAATGCACACTACAAACCACTGTTAACAGATTGATGTGTATTCCTGATTTTTAAATGCATCTACAAAAATATACATATACTATTGTACAGAAGGAGGATTTATAGTTTCCCACATTCTATAAACTTCCTTTTTCATTCAGTGATAAATGTTATGCATCTTCACATGTCGATATAAAAGTTACCATTTCTTGAGCATTTTCCTTGTGCCAGGCACTGTGCAGAGCTTTCCAGGCATTACCTCACACAACCCTGTGAGAGACACATCATTGTCCCCATTTAACTGATGAGAAAAGCAGGTATAAGAAAGTAGCTTGTTAGAGCTAGTTTGGAGCTACATTTTACTGATGCACAGTATTCCTTCTGTGTATGTATTGTTATTTATCATTGAGCCATTCCACTATTAACAGACATTCGTTTCCAGTTTTGGCTATTATAAATAATCCACAGTGAACATTCTTATAGATACATATATCTTTGATTAAATCTTTAGGATACATTCCTATAAATGGGTTAACTTGGTCAAAATGAAAGGAAATTTTAAGTATTGATACCAGATTGCCCTCCAGAAAGATTGCAGGAGTTTATACTCCCAGCTCCAGTGAAGAAGGCTTGCTTCCCCAAACCCTTGCTGGCACCAAGGCATTTGGATACTTTTAAACTCAAGAAAATTAGCTGTATGCCCAATAGCTGTAAATTTTGTTTTGAATATTGGGGAAAAATTTCAGGGGGTTTGGTTTTGGGAAAGAAGGCATATCAATGTTATGATTTTAATGTATACTGTTATCTGTTACTTAAATAACTATTGCCAGTGAAAAATAATGACCTCTTTCACCCCTGTCCCTGGTCACCCAGTTCCTATCTGCAGAGGCAGACACTTAGGTCAGCTTCTCATATGCCCTTCCAGAGGAATTCTGTAATAACAAAGCCTGCAAATACAGTAACATGCACACAGAAACACACATCCTTGAAAGAAAAGTGTGGGGCAGCTAGATGTAAACTCCATGCAGGCAGAGACCACTGCTCTTTTTTGCTCATCAGTGTCTGCATCTACTAAATGAAGATAACCCTACCTTAGAGGATCATTGTCAGGATCAAATGGAAAAACACGTGCCAGCCCTTAACACAATATCCAGCACACAATAAGTTCCCGATGCCTGCAGGGCTGCCTGGCACGTGGTTGGCGTCCAGGGAGTGTGGAGTGAGGGACTGAATAACACCGTAACAGCTACTGGTTCTCTTTGCAGTATGGGGTTCACCTGCAGACTTCAGATTCATTTTTGAGATTTCCTTCTCCCCTTACGTCATCTCTGTGCGCCGATGATAACCCTGCAGGTAAGAGAGAGAGTGTTTTTCTTTTTCTCTGTAAACAGAGTTTGCTCTTAGTTTAACTTTGTAGTAGTCATGATTAAACAGGCTTCATAACTAGATAAACAGTCTTAGAGTTGCAAGAGGCCTCAGAGGTTACGTAGTTCATTTTCCCGCCCAGGGCCGGAATCTTCTGCCGCCTGTAGTCACTGCTTGAGCACTTGTAGTGGTGGGGAACTCACTACCTGAAACCGGCCCACTCAGTGGCTTAACACTTCCAGTTGTGGAAAGTTCTTTCTTCACTGGAGCTCGCGTTTATCTGTAGCTAACTAACGTTTATAAGTGCTTACCATGTGCTGGGTGTTGTGTTAACTGCTTGTGTGTGTTTTCCATTTGATCCTTATGACGATCCTCTAAGGTAGGGTTATCTTCATTTTTTAGATGTGGAAACTGAGAAACGTTTAGTTTCTTGCCCAGGCTCACTCAGGCATGACAGGGCAGGGATGCAGCCCGTGCCTCTGCCTCCTGTGGGTCCTGTTCCTCCTTTCAGGAGCATCGCAGAACCCGTGGAGTAACCCTCTTAGCAGTAGAAGGCAGCAGGCACGGCTCTCCAGTCCTTAAGCCAGCTTCACTGTGGAGAAGCTAGCTAAGTCGTGGATGAGAGCATGTGGCTTAATGAAGCATCATTTGTTACATGAAGGAAAATGTATTCTGTTGAGAAGATGCTTAACCTCGCTCTCGGTAGGAACAGTATAAATTTAAACCAAACTGAGATACGATTTCCACCTAAAGTATTGGCAAAGCTTAAGAAATTTAAGGCTGGGGAGAAGCAGGCTTATCTACATAGTTGGTGGGACTATAAATTGTGAAGAAAATCTGTGAAGAGCAATTTAGCAATATGTATCAAAATTGCAAATGAATTTGCTCTTTGACCTGGCTGTTCTACTCCTAGGAGTTAGAGCTACAGAAACTCTGGCCCACATGCAAAATAGTAGATTTCAGTGTTGTTTGTGATAGCAAAGCTAGAGACAACTTAAGTGTCCATTAGTGGGGAACTGGTTGGATAAATTATAGCATATCTAATAGAATACTAATTATCCCTAAAAAAAAGAGGAGGAAGTTCTTCATGTGCTGAAACAGACTGAACTCCAAGATATATTATTCACTGAAAAAAAACAAAGAGTGGAATATATATTGTACATTTGTTTCCAAAAGGGGAAAGAAATACTAAAAATATATACACACATGCTTTTATTTGCATAGAATATTTCCAGAAGGATACACAAGAATGTCATTCTGATTGTCTCTGGGGAAGGGAACTGGTGGAGACTGGGGGGCTAGGGGAGGGTGGTTGGAGGGAGACTTCTCTCATTATCTTTCTGTGCCTTTTGAATTGTGTGAATGTATTACCTATTTGAAAAATAATTTTTTAAACCCTATTTTAAGCATGTTGTATATCTATCATAATTTATTTTGCAGTTTCACTTAGATTACAATTTTTTAGTTACCATTGGAAAGTTGAAAATTGTCTTCTCTTTGTTATTGTTTTTTTTTTTTTTCCTTGGGAATGTTATGATTTCCAGCATTTCTGGTTAACCAAGCTGTTAAGTGCACCAGAAGGATAAATTTGGAACAGTGTGAAGAAATTGAAGCCCTGAGCATGGCTTATTACAGCAGCCCTAAAATTTTGAGGGTAAGAATTATTTTGAAGTGAAACTGATTTGTTAGGTTTGTTTTCTGTTCTTTGTACCATTTTAAAATATGACGAGTATAGAATAATTTCAGTGCATTATTGACACGCAAACTTAAATTTTACTCCTCCAATTCTTTGGAATACTGATACCAAAGATATTGAAATAATCACAATTTTTATTTTTATATAGTTTGCTCATATTTTGCTTTTGTTCATTTTTTCTTTTTTTTTGCTTTCATTCTTTTTCATGGTAACCAATAATGTCTGTCTCCTGAAAAACAAACGGTTTAATAACCCAAAACTTTAGAAATGATAAAAACATCTTAATGTCTGTGACAGAAATAATCATATTAGTACCAAAAAGATCTCTCTCTGAGAAACAGACCAGAAAAGAATAGCAAATCGCCTTTCTGGTTGGCAGAGGAAGTGGGCGCCCAGGAAAGGACGGGCACTAGGTTTGCTGGAGACGGGAGACGAGGTTGGTGCTGAGAGGCTGCTCTCTCGCGTGCAGTGACCGAGCGGTGACTGTAGCCGGAACTGAATAAACGAGCGAGCCCACTGGCCCGCTTGGTGGGTGACATGGAGGCTCTCCAGGGGAGAAGACGCTTTTCAGTGATTAAAAGCCATTTTGTGAAAGCCCCCCTCCTGATTTCATTTCTTTTGGGGGGGAGCAGGGGAGCAGGGTGGTACCTGGCACCAGTATTCATCTGAGCTGCAGTTCTCAGAATCAAGTTGACCCTTTTCCTCGCCCCACTTTCCCTCTCCCTCTCCTCTCCTCAGCCAGCCATGGAGGCCTGTGACTTCTTCCAGGTGGTGTGACTTCTCACAGTTGTCCTGGAAGTCGTCCCTCAGGCAGGCAGCGGCGGTTCTCTTTCAGCACAGGCCCCCCGGAACGCGTCTGCTCGTCTCCCTCCCCGGAGCTCCCACCGCCCTCGCCCTCGTAGGGTGTCTTGTGATTAGAGGAGTGAGCTCGAGGGGGCTGGGGGCGGGAAGTGGAGCGAGGTCGAGCCCTTCAGAAAGAGAGCTCCCGCGTGTGGGGGACAGGAGCTTGGCATCTCGGGGCCTTGGGTTAGAGGCAGGAGGGCCAATTAGGAGCTATGGAAATCGCCTGGGCAAGCGATGGTGTCCTTCTAGTGAGGACAGGCACAGTGAGAGTGCCCTGGAGGACAGGAGCCATGTCTTCCCCACAGTGCCGTCACTGAGGACCGTGTGGAAAATACTGAATAATTACACTGAGCATGGGGGCTGCCTGAGACCAGCTCTGTTGGGCTGGTCTGTTAAGGTTCCAATCTGAAGGAAATGGGTATAGAAGAGAAATGTAAAGTTACCTCCTTGATTATGACATAGATATAAAAATATGTAGGTGGCAGGTCTCGATTAAGGATATTCTGTTTTCCTCTTTGTGAAGTCTATGACTATGAAGTAGATGAGAATGCCCTTTAACTCATGGTCTGAAAAAGCAATGAAAATGCTTCTTTTTGATATACTTAACAAAATTTGTTTTGTTTTGTTTTGTCTAGGTGCCTAATTCAAAAACAAAGGTAAGAGTATTTCTTATGGAAAGTTAGTTTATAACACACTTGTCTTATTTCTGAGCCCTTTGAAATGAGTACACTTATGATTAGAAGGTACCTTACTGCCAATAACAACATTTGCTGAAAAGCAAGCGAGCAGAAATGAAATAGGGGAACTCCTTACTAGATGACCCTTTTGTAATCACAAAAGGGTCAGATTTTCAAATTCCCTCAGTTTTTGTGGGTCCACTTTCTCATGTTTAAATGGCACAGCTGTCTTGACTGACAGTGGGTGTGACTGGCTTCTGTGCTGTCAGGGCGTCCCTTGCTATCTTCTTGGTCTCTTGTCAGGAGAGCTGGCCAGCTCCCAGGACGCTGTCTGTCAGTGTAGAAGATGGAAACACTGTGCCCAGGGAGTGTACACCCGTGTGGGAGGTGAGCACTCTCAGTGTGGCTCCAGGGGTAGGTTCTAGTCAAAGCCTTATCACCCCCAGCCCAGGGGCTCTGTCGGGCGGTAGTCAGGAGGCCAACGTCTCTTTGTGGATACGTCAGAGAGAAGGAACGTGGATCTACCCCTTATTCTTGGGTCTGCACCCTATGCCTGCCTGTGAATGCAGTCCCCAAAGAGGCCCAAGGCAGTGGCCTTGTTATAGTCTCCCAAAGCCTGTGGAATTGGTCTGCCTTGGTTCAAAACTCAGCTTTGCCATTATTTTCTCGTATAACATACGCCTCAGTCTCCCTAATGGTCAGGCAGATGGTAAGTGCCCCAGAGGCTTGGTGTGAGGCTCGAGTGGGAGAGTGCGCAGGAGGAGCTCGGTGCAGCGTCTGGTGCACAGGAAGCACTTGGGGGCAGTGATACCTACAGTAATTAGTTTCATTAAGTCTCTGGACACAAACGTGTGTTTGAGGTGACATTTGAGAGGAAATAGGCGTGTGACTTTGGACGTCACACTGCTGTGTGTGGGCCTGGGTTTCCTCATCTGTGAAAGTGTTTTCAAACTTGTTTTAGTTGTAGAGCTTCTTCAAGTGACATCTCAAGCAGAACTCTCCCCAGTGTGTAACCTGGGTTGAACCGGATGCCTCTGGGTGGAGCAGGGGTGGGGTGAGAAGCCCTCCACCTGCCTGGCCTCCCCATCTCTCTCCTGTTTGGTGTCTCTGAGGAACCCTAAGGTTCCTGGGAACCCAGTTTGAAAGTCATGTAATGGACTAGCTCTCAGATACCTCTAACCACTAGAAAGTGCTTTGATTCTACCATTTAAAGCTTGAACCACCTGGGGGTGGGGGGACAGGGGCCTTGTCCATGATGTATCCTTAGTACTAGGGTGGTGCCTAATATGTATTGGGCACTTAGTGGGTTATGTATTAAGTGAATCAATGACTAGGGGATTGGTTCAAATAAGAAGGGAAGACCTGTTATGAGAAGTAATGGGCTGTCACTGAAAGGCACGTACTGTGTGCCAAGCGCTGTTCCAAGGACTGTATATGTCTGAAGTCCTTTAGTTGTTGCACTGACCCTAGGAGGTAGGTCCTGGTATTGTCACTCTCTGGCACACGAGTCACAGAGAGATGAATTAGCTTGCCCAAGGCTACACAGTGGGGAAGTGGCAGAGCTAGGACAGGAATCCAGGTTGTCTGGCCCCAGAGACCTTATTCTCAACCATGACACTGGACTAGTTCTACTGTGTGCCAGGCCTAGAGTTACAGGCTTCACATACGTTCTCTCGTTGCATCCTGTGGCCACGCAGTCAGGAAGTGGCAGACTGGGCCTTCCAACTCAGATCTGCCCGACACCAGTGTCTGTGCTCTAAAGGGCAAGCATATTGACTAATCAGAGATTTGTTTAAATTTTTAAAAACTACTTCCAAGGTCTGTTAGAGGATGAGAAATATAAAAATTGCATCCAGTGTCATTAAGTGAGGCCCATTATGGTTGCCTGGAATCATTGTCAATATCTGTTGAACCATCAACGAAAGATTGTGATGGCCCTATAGCCCATTGTTAAGTATGCTTTAGTTCTCTGCCAGTGGGTGTTTGGGGATGGGATGTGATTGAATGGCACATTCAGGAAACCAGAGCAGCCCTGCCATTTTCACTCTTGTGGCTGTTCCCCTGGAGGTTGATAGACTAGTGCAGCTCTTGCTGTTTACACTCATCTGTGCATCTTTCCCGTGCTTGTTTAGACTGGACCCTCTGGCTTCTGCCAGCCACACCCACACACCATGGGAATGGCTCCATCAGAGGCTGGTACGGAAGGGTGTGCGCTTTCTTGGAACCTAGTGTCATTGCTGAATCCGGGATCAGGATGTTCAGATAGTGGAATCCAGGGTCGTCTTTTGATACTTCAACAAGAGCTGATTAACTGGTAGCACCGGCCTCCTTGCGAAGCTCTTCAACCCGTGGGTGTGGCTTGTTATGTAGAGGGCGTTGCGGTGGTTGGTTTTGCCCTTCTGCCACTCTTTCACGTGACAGCTCATCTTTGCTTCTGAACCATGTCACATTCTTACATGAGAGGTTTGACTCAATAAGGACAGTTGAAGGTCGTCTTGGTCATGGGAGCAGACACATAAGGACTACTTATTTATCTATAAAATGACAGCTTAAATTCTTAGTAATTTGGAATTATAAACAACGTGGTACGTGATTGAGGGCAAAGTTCAAAGCAATATAAACAACTAGATACAAGTTAGGTTCCTTCCTAAACAGTGGTTTCTAAGAGCTGACATTTAGAGCAAAGGTCAGATTCGTCACACAGTATGAAGAGGCCCAGCTATCTAGAGATTCAAGCCATTTAAAGAATTACTTACTGCTTTGTCACTCTGCTGGCAATGGCCACAAATGAAAAATGTCCTTTAATCACATTGGGCTAACCAGGGCTTCCTGATTCTGCTTAAAAGATTTGTCTGTCTCTTGTTTTCTCTTACCCATAATCCCACCACCCAGACCCATAGATAACCACTGTGTGTGTGTAGAAGTTGTGTATAAATTGGGTCAAGTGTATATTCAGGGAGGTGGTAGGGGTTTAGGGAGATGTACCCTGGGACTGTGTGGAGAATGTATATACACATGCGTGTACAGAGCTAGTGGATTTGTCAGTAGGAGGTGTTCTTTAGAAGTAAGAGTACATGCTCGATGAAGTGATGGAGTTTTGTCCGTGTGTGTGTGTGTTTGAGATATAATTCACATACCATAAAACTCACCATTATAAAGTGTACAATTCAGTGGTTTTTGGTATATTCACAAGGTTGTGCAATTATCACCATTATCTAATTCCAGAACATTTTCATCACCCCAAAAAGGAACCCTGTGCTCATTAGCAGTCACTCCTCATTCTTCCCCAACCCTCTCCCTCAGTCCCTGGCAACCACTAATTTATTTTCTGTCTCGATGGATTTGCTTATTCTGGACATTTCCTATAACTGGAATCATATAATATGTGGCCTTTTGTGTCTGGCTTCTTTTGCTTAGCGTAATGTTTTCAGGATTTATTTATGTTGTAGCATGTATCAGTACTTTATTCCTTTTTATGGATGAATAATAATCTTTTGTATGGATATACTGTATTTTATTTACCCATTCATCAGTTGATAGACATTTAGGTTGTTTTTGGTTTTGGCTACTATGAATGCTGCTGTGAATATTTCTGTACAAGTTTTTGTGTGAACATGTTTGTTTTTAGAGGTAACCACTTTTAAAGTTTTGGTGATGTCCTTCTCAAGTATTTTCTATGTGAATGTATATATGTATTAATATATAAATATCTGTATTTTTGTGGATGTGGGATTATAGTATGCATATTCTTCTGTAGCATGCTTTTCCCTGCTTGGCAGTGTATCAGTGGAGGTTTGTTTCCAGTTTTTCATTATTTTAACCCACTTCCCTCTGTCGTGTGTGTCCTTAGCAATCCAGGACTTCTTTACTTTGCAGGTTCCCATCACTGTTCAGTCCATCATCATTCAGTCTCTAAATAAAACGCTAACCCGCCTGGAAGACACTGCTGTGTTGAAGCAGGCCCTCGTCGAGGCTGGGGATGTGAGAATCTGCACTAACGTCGTGCTTGAGGTCGGTGCCCAAGCTGCTCTGAAAGCTCTATCTGTGTGGCAGACTCCGCTGCGTGGTCCTGAGGGGGCAGCTGGCACCCTCCAGGGGGGCTCTGGCCCATCCTATGACACTGCTTTTCCTGGGCTGGCCGCCTGCTTGCCTTTCTGCTGTCTCATCAGAGGACGCTTCTTTACTTGTCTCTGAAATAGTCATGTGTGATTTTTCTCCACAAACCTAGTGATTTACAAGAATACATCAAAATTTGTTATTGTTGCTGCTGTTTTATTTCAACACGTTTCCTCTGCAGAGATAGACTGATTACATTCTGCTCAGACCAGCTGATTTGGAACTTAGGTAATGGGTATAGAGAGGCCCCAGTGACCCTGTCTGTCAGCTGGGGGATGACGCCGAGATAACACCTCAGTAACCCAACTGGACAGGAAAGAGAAGCTTCAACAAGAGGGAAGATGGGTTATTTGAGTTATTAATACAGCTACAGGAGTGTAACAGGAACGGGTGATTTGGAGTATCATTCTGTTTCTAGGTCAAGTACAGCCTAACATATACAGATGCAGGAGAGATAACAAAAGCTCATCTCGCTCTCCTCTTGGGGACAGTTAGCAGTGCAGTGGTTCCATTCCAGCAAAAGTTTGAAATTCGTTTTATTCAGGTAAGTTTGATCAGTTTTGTACAAGTATTTAATTGCCAAGTAAAAAGAAGTCATAACTTCTAAGTGGAAAAAAGTCTCCGTTTGGAAGCGTTACCACATCTAACCCCTTGTACTAACAGAGGGCTTGCACAGAGCATGTGGAGTTTGTAAAGGATCCGGCAGAGTCCTTGTATCTTTTTCCATTTGGGAATTAGATTCTCTTCCACATGAGCTTGCTCTTTTACAGCGTGATGGCCTCCCACTGTCAGCAGACATATTTATAGTTCTGAGTAGGGGGAACCATTCTTGTATTGGTTGGCAAGCCCAGATTTTATTATGAAAAGCATTTGATTTTCCCCTGCCATTTCCTTATTAAAATGAGAATTATTTGGGAGCATCTCTGTATTGTCTTTCAGCAAAATACAAAGCCAGCTCCTCTCAGTGGAAACCCTGGTTATGTTGCGGGGCTCCCGTTAGCTGCTGGATTCCGGCCTCAGAAGGGATATCCTTTTTGGTTCTGTGGAGAAGATTGATTTCCCTGTCCACGTGCATGGGCCGCACTTCTCTTTATTGCTGAGGGTCCTGTGGGCTAGAGAGACCAGTCTCCGCCAGAACTTCCTCTGGTGGCTCCGGTGGGTGGTGGGTCTGGCTGTACAGCAGGTGGGGCTGTGTGGAGACCGGCACTGGGGCTGAAACGGCCCAGGAAAACGTCAGTGTTTTATAATGAAAATCTTAATACAGAAAAGTTGACACACGTTTAGATGTATTTAATTTCATACTTAAACAGAGACTCTTGAACAAATTTACTGGTTTTGAAAATTTGGAATTTATTTTGAAGGGCCGGTTTCTGAGGATTTTTCTTCTGAGGATCTACTAATCAAGGAAAATAGTTATAACTGTTTTTTGCCCTCTCCTGGGAAATAACTGTCAAAACCCCAGAGGCCCAGAGAAGGGATATTTGGGTCTCACTCAGTCACACATGAGACACTGTCTCCTAAGAATCAGATTGCTTTAGCACTGGGTGATTATTCCTTAACTTCCTGTGAATGTCTGGGATTATTCAGACCATGAATAGATATGGACAACTTACTATTCTTCGTAGCACAACTGAGCAAGACTGCTTAGCAATAGAGGGAATCCGGGCCCCAGTATTATTTGGTTACAATATGCAGTCTGGCTGTAAACTAAGGTAAGAGAGTAACTTTTGTCTATTTGAACTTGTCTGTGTTGATCAGAAAACAAAGCATTTCTATCCTTCCCCATTTTAACAAACCTGTGCATCAACTGACGAGTGTATGTGAAAGCCACATGTAGCTTCTTATCATTATTAATGGATAGTAGCAATAGTGACAATCCTTTATAATGGTGTAGTTTTTTTGTTTTCTAATTTTAATTCTCATAACCATAAACCATTTGTCATGATTCAAAGGAAAACTATTATAATCATTTTTCTTATAAAATATGGCAGAGTGAAAATCTCAAGGCTTTGTGTTTTGTTTTTAAGGTTTCATAGCACCTTGAGTTCACAGCAAAAATATTTTCCCTGAAAGTCCTTCCTATATTTCTAAATTTTAATATACACAGCACCACCAACCCAGTGAGAGGAAGGCTGAATGTGATCTGTTTTTCTCTTTTTATTATCAAACGTGTCTATAATGTGAAATGTCAGGCAGCTCTGCACGGCTTGTTAGAACGACAGCAGTTCTTACTCTCATTCCCCCACCCTAGAGGCAATCACTTCCAACTCTTGTAGCTGATTTTTTGGAAATTTACCCCCAAATCTTTAAATAACCTGCATATAATGCTACTTCTTGATTTTTTGGTTTTATGAATTATTGGGTTCCCACTATGGAATATCAAGATTTGGCTCTTTCCCCTTCCATCTCCTACCCTACCACCCACTTCACTTCCCATCTCGAATCTCCTCATGGTAATTATATCATTATTTTGGTTAGACCAGTATTCACTATTTACATTATTAGTTCTGATCGCTTTAGACGAGCATTTCTCAAAGGCCGTTCCATGGAATACACTTCCACAAGATGTCAGGAAGGGTAGGTCTGTGTTTGGGAAATACCAAATTAAAGTTAAAAACACGATTCCTTACTGCAGGACTTCTCAGAGCCTTTAATCTGCCAATGTGCCTCAGGAGGGACGTGGGTATGCAATATTTCCAGAACTTTTGGCCATGGAACCCTTCTTGTACAGAAGCTCTCAATGGAACACAGTTTGGAAACCACTGTGTTGGATTCATCTGTCTTGCCAACCAAGATTTTGCAAAGTTAGAGACACTTTGGCTTTTGTCAGATCCCTCTTTTGGAGAGTGAGAAAATGAAGGAACTGGAGAGAGCACGTGTGTTGTTGGGTCTGTAAAAACAGCTGTAGGAAAGACAGCCTCAATCGATTGACCTCTTTTTCCTTCCCCAAAGACTGCCCAGGGCTATCACGTGTCAGCTGGTAGTGCAGAAGGTGAAGAGCCTGCTGATGGGCCAGGGCTTCCCAGATTATGTGGCCCCTTTTGGAAATTCCCGGGCCCAGGATGTGCTGGACTGGGTGCCCGTCCACTTGGTCACCCAGGCGTCCCACGTGAAGGTAAAGGGGGAGAGCTGAAGGCCACATGCTGGCAGTCGCTCCTGCTTCCACCTGTGAGGAGACAGGCAGCTCGGGGAGCTCCCTGATGAGGAGGTGGAGGGGTTTGGGCAGGAGCTGGGGCTTTGTTGTCAGGTGGCCTGGATCTTGAATACTGATTTAGCCCCTTGTTAGCACTTTGGCCTTTGGCCAGCAATTTTGTGGATTTGAGCCTCTGTTTCCTCATCTGTGAAATGGGAATGATAGTCATAGTACCGACCTCATGAATTTGTTGAGAAGGTTAAATGGGGTAACATTCATGGTACCTAGTGGTCACTCCATGAGTGGGAACTGCTGCTGATCTCACCATTCTGACTATTCCTACTGTCATTGTTGGTGTTACCCGAGGCCTTGGCATCGTGATACGGTAGACGAGTGTGAGGACTGTCTCAAAAGATTGAGACTTCCTCCCATCCACATAGCTGTCCCAGCCACTGTTCCCTGGTCTGTACAGGCAGCCCACATGTGAGAGCTTTCAATTCCAAAGTTCCCCGAAGAGTTTAATGGAAGTTGACATCCTACAAATAGGTTCCTGCTCACATGTGATTCTTCTGCCCACCTTTTTCTTTTGTCTCAGCCAGCGGAGTGTGGGTCGTCCCCATCACTGGAGGCGTGCTCTCCATCTTATCCTTTAATTGCCCAGCTTTTTCTTGTCACCGTTTCTTCAGGCCTCTCATTATCTGCTTAGCATATTTATAGCGTGGGGATAATGGGGGTAAGGACTAGCTCCCCAGCTCTGATCCCGCCCTCCCCACCGAGTCCCCAGCAGACATCCGTGATTACTCAGTCCCTGCTGTTCAGCTGTTAAGTCTTGGCTCAGCTCTGCTGCCTCAGTGAACCAGGCAAATTGCTTCTGGCTTCTCAGAGAGGGGTTAAGACATCCAGTTATGACTTCCCCTCAGAAGGGAAAACATTGGTTGGGAGGAGAGGCAGCAGCACGGACATGAGCATCACCAGGGTCTGTGCTGGTCCAGGGAGCTCAGAGGGCCTGGCGCGGGTTTGGTGCCAACCTTCTAGGTGGAAGCAGGCATGCGAGCATCTGCCCAACTCCATTCGTACCAGCTGCATGGTGCATCTTCTCGTAATAACAGGACATTCTCAAGGAGTTTTCAGCCTGCAAATTTCTTAAAAGGCAGTTCCAAGCCAAGGAATTCCACCAGTGCCTTTTTGGCAGGTACCAAATTTAGCAGGCCTGCCAGCTTTTCATGACCTGAAGAGACATATTTTTAAAAACTTTTTATTGTGGAAAAATTTCAAACAGAAAAGTAGGACTCTACAATGGAATTCCATTTACTCCTCATGCAGCTTCAACAGTTATCGTTTGCCAACTGAAGAGACTCTAAAGGCAGGAAAGAGGCCTGGAAGGCCCACTTGCCCATTTTTCCTTGGGGCTGAGCAAACTAAGGTCCTGGGGCAGAGGCCTCGGACTCGGCTCCCACAGCATCCAACCTAAACTCGGGCAGCTCCATTGTGGCGCCATTGCTCTCGGTTCAGATGGAGACTTGTTAGTATCTTTGACAGCTTACGGACTCTGCCTGTATATCCCAGTATAACATCTTCATTGCCAGCTGATGAAGTCAGATAAATGAAAAGCAAGCACTTAAATTTCCTCTAAGTGCATTTTAATGTGATACGCAATCAGGTTTAGTTTCTATTAATAATACCGTCCTCTTCGCCCTCCCCGCCCAGTGCCAGCTTCTCTCCTAGAGTATCTCTGAGGTAGAAGTAACCAGGTGGTAGGTGAAGTTAGAGCAGTCAAGGCCCTGAAGGGTCCAGGTGGGTGTTGGGACCACCACAGCTCACAGGCAATGCTGGCCTCATAGGAGATAGGAGGGGATGGAAAAATCATGCTTTAGGTGTTAAAATATTTTTGGAGCATTGAGTACTTGAAAATATGTGCTTTCTCTAAGCTGTTTTTATCTGAACTTCTCGAGTCTATTCATTCTCTTGTTCAGAACATTTTGTAATAGGTGAAACATTTTATAATTAAAACTCTGAACTGCAGATTAAGTTTGACTTGAGGTTGTGTAATATTCAGATTGATTAATGGCATTTTGTTGTGCAGGATTCTTGCCAGCTCCCAGTGGCTTTGGTTATAGAAGTGAAGTGGACTAAATACGGCTCCTTACTGAACCCGCAGGCTAAAATAGTGAACGTGACTGCAAATCTGATTTCGTCCGCATTTCCTGAGGTGGGCCTGACTATAAGGGAGAGGTTAAGACACAAGTCCAGACAAAACTCAAGTGTGATAGGTGAAATTTATTATTTTGTGAAAAAGATTATAATTAAAATTGAAACAATCTGAATTCTTCAAGCAATTTAGCAGTCATTCTCTTTTACTTAGAGAAACTCTGCTGATAATGGTTTTATTCACATTAGTCTTCTTGTTTAGATTTGATCTTTAAAATTCTTGTGAAAATGGAGTTGTGATTGACATTGATGTGTCAGTTAGGACAACCTGAGTAGACACCGTCTCTCTCATCCGAGTTAACGGCTCACTACCCCTCCTCGGACCTGTCAGATTTGGGACCTGACCTGGTCAGGCGAGGAAGGGAACGAAGGACGTCCATCTTGGTTGTCCTGGGAACACACTGGCGGGCAGGGCTCGCGTCACTCTCTTTATTTCAGACCAACTCAGGAAACGAAAGGACGATGCTTATTTCCACTGCGGTTACTTTTGTGGATGTGTCTGCACCTGCAGAGGCAGGCTTCAGAGCTCGGCCAACCATCAACGCCAAGCTGCCCTTTGATTTCTTCTTCCCGTTTGTCTGACGTAAGTCGTTAATTAAGGAAACTACCCCACACCTCCAGAACAGAGTGCCTGGGGGCCTGGGGTCCCGGGGTCCCTCAGAGACATCCCTTTTTATTATACTTCCAACCCTTGAGGTTGCCCCCAAACCAACACGCCTCCCCTCTCCACTCACTTCCCTCCTTTTTTCCTTTGGAAATCTTATTCTACTTGGCTTGCACTATCTGGTCTTGGTCATTTTCAATACTCTCAGCACATAGATCATATTTGGAAACCAAACTGTGCCTTTGGAAAGACGGTAAAGAGAACAGACCTTGAAGTAGCTCAGGCGTTGAGGGTTTACCCAGTTTATTCACCCCCTCCTTTAATGTGAGTAATTTTTAAAATATTGTTTTTAGTTCAGGTTTTCTTTTCAGGTCCCCTTGAAATGAGTACAAAAGTAGCAAAACATTGTATAAAATTGTAGGAGTACAGGGCCTCACGAGGGGCTCTTCCCCCAAATGTCATGTTAATTACAGTGGCGTCTTGGGTCTAATTGCCATTTCTGTACCAGCCACTGTAGCTAGCGAGCTCTCCACCTGGAGGGCTGGTGTGGGATGCCACAGAGCCATGCCAAGCGGTTGAAGCTTGACAGAATATGGTAGGAGGGCCCGAGGAAAGGAGAGAGTTTAGTTTATACATTAATTGTACAGTAATTGAGAAAAATGTTGTCAGGTGGCAGAGGTGGAACCAGCTAGAAGCTTGATGATGCAGAGGAGGGGGCTGGGTGCCCAAGAACAACCTCCCTGGGGGAAATTGTGATAAGAGAAGCTGTTTAGAACATCTTGGAAATATAGAAGACTTTTTTAGAATGGGCTGGTAGCTAAGGTAGCTTCCTCTTTTTTTCTTTTGTCTTTCAGAGTGCTCATATGAAAGGATGCACTGGTTCCTCAATATACATGTGAAATGTGAAAACTGTACATTTGATGAGATTAAATTTTATATACAACTAGTGATTGTCCAGCTTTGTTCATTTTCAAGCAAGAGTAAAGTGTTCAAAATGTGAAGATACAGTTTGGTACCTTTGTTATTACACAGTGTGGTTTGGGAATGGGATGGGAAGCCCTCGGTCAGACCAAGGGAGAAACAGAGCCTTCCGAAAGGCTGTGTCCCCCAGGATCCCAACTGGGCAGGAGTGAGGCCAAGGCATGGAAGCAAGCCTCTCCCCCAGAGGGCCCCCAGAAAGGCCGGCGTCCTTCCCGCCACAGGCACAGGCCCGGGAAGCAAGGTCTTCTGAGGTGGAGTGGGTCCCCGTCTAGTTCACCTCACCAAGGAGTCCGTGCTGTTGCAAGAGCTTGTTCAGTCTTTCAATTTCTTGTTCCTGCGATTATAAAAGCAGACAACTGAATGTACCTTCTGAGCCTCACCGGGGATGACAGTCATTCAGTGAGCCCCCGGCACAGGGACACACGGCTGAATGACAGCTCCGCTCTGCGGAGGAGGCTGCCACAGGCGGATGGGGTCCAACGGGCAACACCAGTGGCAAGAGATTCTCGGAGGAGGGCACCTGGCAGAGCTCTGGGGAAGGAGGCGATGCCTAAGCTGCGTCTGGAAGGACAAGGAAGACTCAGCCAAGGAAGGGTGCTCCAGGCTAAGGGCACCGCCTGAGCCAAGGCCTGGCGGCGAGAAGCGCCTGCTGCAGACGGGGAACCGCAAACGTGACATTCTCCCAAAAGTGTCTTCTTACCTTCTCGGTGCAGCTGAATTCAAGGTGTTGGACCTTGGCGGCCAATTGTATGTTCATTTGTTTTAACCTTAACAGTTGCCGTTCTGAACGTGTCTTAACGGAGATAATTATCCCTGAAAAATAATTGAGGGTCTCAATGATACTGGTTTCTAATTTAACCACTTGGGAAAAAAACCTGTATTCCTTATAAATGTATACAGATGGCAAGAGGGATGACAGGAAACAGGCATCGCTTAAAGGCATCAGAACGAGGAGGGTCCGATTTTTCACGTCTCAGCTACTTAGTACCCAGTTGTGAAATATGTCTTGTCAGCTCACGTGGGTTGAGAAATCCTTAAAAATCACTGACCAGAGGAGCATTAACTCCTTAATACAGAGCTTGTTCATGACGGCACTGCCGCCCAGCAGCAGTGAAACAGGCCGTGGGAGTGCAAAACTGGAAATGCTCAAGCTTGGGGTTGGGACTGGCACTTGCCCAACATTCCGCCTCCCACGGCCGTGGCCAGTGTAGTTGTCAGGGGATGACCTAAATACTGGTTGAGGGGAGGGGTCATCAGCCGCATCTGATGGCCCCCAAATGCCCACACACGGGGGACATGGCCTCAAAACACTAGGTGCCGCCGGGGACGCTCTGCCCTTTCCAAGTCAGAGTGACTGTGTCCAGACCTGTTACCCACACCCGGTGCCCGGAGGCCTGGGAGCAACGGGCCCTGGCCCGCGGCGTTCCTGGTTGCCCCACCGAGTCCAGCGTGGCCTTGTGTTGTTTTCTCAGACCTTTCCTGTCATGCTATTAAATTTGATAACAGTGTAATAATGGGCATTAGCCAGTTCTTCTATGCTCTGCCACCATTTAGACAAAGAAAAGGAACAAATCTCAGACTTGGGGTTTCACCTGCAAGAGCAAATCTTACAGTGGTGTGATACGAGAGTAACGGGTTGTAACTGTGGTTCGTGAGTCATTTATGATCAGTAACAGTTTATCTACCTCATTTGAGCGTAATCTTTGTACAGAGTATTTTTCTCTTCGATTAATGAAATAATTAGCATAAGCATCTTCAATAGTATCTGAAAAGCTTCGTTTCCTTTGACAGAACCCAAATGAATGTTCTTAATGGGCTTTATTTTAAGCACTAGACGGGAGCTGGCCCCTAACGCCACCAAGAGCCCGCAGTGCCCACAGGCAGAGCCGTTCACACAGCCCCGCATCTGAGCAGACGTGGCCCTTTGCCTGCCAGGTCATGCTGCAGCAGAGCGGGCTGGGCTGCACCCCAGACCTCTGCATCAGACTCTCCATTTAAACAAATAGCATTGAAGGTCATTCTGATTCAGCAGGTCCACGGACAGGCATTTGAGCAACTCTGACTAGTTCACTGGCAGCTGAACAGTTTACCAGCTGGCGATCACCGTGTCCACGTGAAATCACAGCAGAACCACGGCGTCTCGGAAAAGGAGGTTCCCTGCACCAATGGCGTGTGCGAGGAATAGGATTTTTACCTGAAATATGGTAAAGCAGTTTTCCCCAAGTGTGTTCTCCAGAGCCAGAGTCTAAGGCATGTTAATAGGTGTTACTTCCCCCAGAAGTGTGAATTAGGAAAACAGTTCTCAGAGCTAACCCGTGTTGTGACTTTCTCGAAGGGGGTGGAATCTAGTGTACAGCGTTTCTCAGCCGACCTGCATCCCTTTGAATGGTGCCCCTCCCAAGGTGGGATGAGGTCTGGTAGAACACTCTCCAGGAAACACCATCCTAAAATCAAAGGCACTCAGAACCACGCTGGGAGGGACTAGTCAGGGATTAGCCTAACCCTTTCCATAAATGTCTTCTAATAATCAGGAAAACAGGGCCTAAAGGGAAAGGTAGTTCCCCTCAGAGCACATGTCCTGGTGTCAATCGGTAGCCACAGAGGCGGCTGGGGGACCCCAAATCAGACCACGTCACCTCCCGCTCGACTGCTGCAGGAGGAGACTGCTGGAGACCACAGCCCGCCCGGCCCCGCGCCCACCCCCAGGCTGCACCCCCCACCCCCCCGCAGCGGCCCGGGAGCAGGGCACAGACCGTTGATGATCCGGGCCACCCGCCACAGCCGGAGCAGGATCAGCAGGCCGAGAGCCTCGAACTCATGCTCCCGGAACAGGAGGACGATGTCAAGGATGAACGAGACCACCACGACGATGGTGTCCAGGATTTCAAACTTGTGGTGAAAGAACTCGAAGCGGAAGACAAAGATTTTAAAGAAAACTTCCATCATAAAGAAGGTCAGGATGGCAACGCTCATGTAGTGGAACACCTGAAGGGGACAGCGAGGCGGAGTGAGAGTGGGTCCCGGCTGGCCGTGGGCGCGCAGGCCACAGGCCAGCCGGCCTCCAGTGCACCTGCTCCATCAGCAGAGAGTCCCGAGCTCCTGCCAGCCCCAGGCGCTGTCCTCGGGCGGGAAATACTGCTGGGAACAACACAAAGGCTCTGCTCTCTTTGAAGGGCAGTTGGGCAACGGCAGGACTGAAAACATCCACCATGCCCCATCCCCCAGCAACTCCACCACTGGGAATTTACCCTACAGTTAAGCTCACACGTGCATGTTGTCAGGATCTTTACCGCAGCAGAGTTTGCAGAACAAAAGGTTTTCCACACTGTCTGTAGAATAGAAATATCCATTAGAGGGCACTTGGCAAATGCATTATGGCACCTCCAATTGGAGCACTGTGCAACTGTTAAAAAGATCAAAGCTGATCCATATGTATTGACCAGAAATGATCACCAAGGGAGATGGTAAGTGAAGAGAGTTCCCACATCTCGATTTATAAATAGTAGTCTTCACTAAAGTAACCATTTCCATTCTGAGGCAAGGAAAGTACCAAGTGAGCTGGGACATCATCTTGGACTGCAAAGTAAGGAAACGGTCACAGACTATGGAGTCATGTCAAAAGGACGCAGGAGCTCGAAGAGGTTCACAGTGACCAAATCTGGGGCAATTTGAACATCAAAAAGAATGACTATGATTGTAATACATGGAATACAAAAAAAATCTGTGAGTCCACAGTGATACGTGCACACACGTGCACACACGGGAGAAAAAGGAAAGCTCTTCTTTATAAAAGAATATCAACTACTAGCTGTAGAAGGAAAGACAGAATTAGAAGTCACCAGTTTGCATGCCCCCGCGTATTCACTGGCTCTGGCAGTGATCATCAGTGGATGCTAGCAGGGAAGAGGACATTTGCCTGGTACTGCAGTGTCACTGGGCAGATCACCTATAACTGCAGAGGGAAATGTGCCCTGGCCAGAGGAGCAGCTCAGCATCTACTACCTTAATCCAGTGACCCAGCAGCATCACGAACAGCGGGCCCCTGGCCGATGTGCCGCCACATAAAG